TTGGCCAAAGCAAGTCGTCCCTTGAGTAACGGGCGGGCCACTGCCTCATCTTACGCCAACACCGGAGAGCCAGATGGCCGAGCAATCATCACGTCCGAGCCCACTGCCCGTGATGAAAGTTCGACAGGTCAGAGCCCGCGTGCCGTCCAACAAACTATCTACGCGCAAGAAGGGAATTAATGTTAATTGTCGCTGTATTTTTGCAGTAATGACTATATCCTTTAAATACTGTAAACTTCTGTGCACGAATTACTCGCTTCTGATACTTTTTCCTACTTATGCCTTTATAAGTTCAAATGCATTTTATGGAAAACACACGAAAAATTCTTTCTTTTCATGGCTTGGTAGTAAATTACATGATTTGAGAATAGGCTACACGATAATTAGCATTAAAACCTTACTCAATGCCAAATAGCAATTGAGTATCAATCATTCGCAAATGTCAGAATATTGCACGAATTCTGAGGCGTACTGTAGATGGAGTACCCATATTTACGAGTAAAACTGTCAAGTATCATTTAAGGCCATCAACGACAGTAATAATTAAATCACAAATGACGAAAAATCACCGATCCACGGCCAGTCGTAAACGTAGAAACTGTTGAGAAGAATATAATTGCGTTACACATGCATCCTAAATGTGTTTGTTACCCAACTCAGTAATTGTATCTGCTTACGAGTCCAAGGAGGGGTGTGGGAATCCAACGCGTATAAGGAATAACATAGGCATGAAATTTAGCATGTATCTCGTTTCCGATGTGTTAATTCACGTCAAAAACGGCGTATGTGACGCAGCTTCGCCAAGAAAGTTTGATCAATACTGACGTCGTTCACTTCAAAAATCATTCTGGCTAAGTACCCTTCCCTCCTCCCAACTATAAATAAAACTGAATATTAAGGTCAAGGTCTTCCGACATGATAAAAGAGAAGTGGACAGGAAGGGCATGTCAAATCACAGCTACAGGCAGATAGACTGTGTGGCGATGGGATCAACACTTGGATCGTCTTTCGCAAATGTGTTGATGGGTATGAGCGACAAAAATAATTCAAGGAACAGGATCAATGACCTCGAATTTTACGGTTTTTTAAGGGAGCGATCACTTCTGTCTGACAGAACATAGCAACGACGCCGACGCCCTGGTCAGGACGTTAAGAGTGCGCATCAACCATATAAGATTTCTGCCGTTCAGAGGAAGATATGGACATCGTGTTCTTTGAATTTCTTCTCCGGAGTCAAAAGGATGAATCTATCCTGTGAAGGGTATTCCGAAAGGAAACCTGGACCTGGGAATACACCAAATTTCATATCGATGAAACGAAATTGAGTCAAGGTATTAGCAGCTGGAGTACGACGCATCTGCTCTCCTGAACAAGAAGAAGCAGAATTTCAGCAACTGCGGAACACGCTTCTTGAAAGTGAGTACCCGAAAAGGTTCAGCCTCGGGAATATTGGTGAACGAACCAAAATGCCTGCTTACTTAACTGCAGAAAAGAAAATTGTGTTCACAGTGCTGCCTTTTCTAGGCGATGTAACGAGTAAGCTTGTAGGACGAGGTCTGAAGAGAGCAATCACAAGTCCTTTTCCGGTGGCCAAATTTCACGTTTTCTTCATTAACGCTGCCCTCCTGCGCTTGGGAATTAAAAAACCGACTCCCGTTGAAGGCCAGATCGATGTGCATTTACTCTTTTGCCTGTGAAATAGGATACATTGGCTAAACAACGAGACGCCTGCAAGGTATGTACACGAAAGCATACCGGGCTGGCAAAGTAAAGGTGAAACAGGATCGAAGTTGGGTTCCATTCTCACACATTGTGTTGATACGAATCATCTAGGCGATACTAACTAAGCATTTCAGGTTGCCTTCCGGACAACAGACAAAATTTTCAAAAGCCAAGGCAGTGGCTATAAGGCCAGCAAATCCAGTGCTGTATTGTCATTAGTCACTAATACAGGCGCTGTCACTTCCATGGCCAACACTAGGGGGCGATCGAGTTTTGTCCCACACCTTGGTGACAGTTGCTCACTCCGTTGCACGTGATAGGGATCTACCCTCCACCTACCAATAATCATGGCCTATCCTACCATTCACCCTGCCCTCAGCACACTGGCCTGTAAACGCCGAAATCGCTATGCAGGCGGCGTGAAAACGATGAGCTGTAATCATAAGACAGTTATTAACCCCGCCAAACTGTACAATTTGCATTGTACCGGCCCGATTGTGAATTGTCAAAAACATATGTTTATCATATATAGATTTTTCAAGTTAGACATGGAAATATCTGCAGAAGTGAGAAAATCCCCGGTATTTTCTAAATGCTTTCAATGTGCGTCAATGCCAAACCGAAATATGCATCAAAAGATTCCTGATGGGTACAACAGAAAATGTATTATGGCCACAAAATGCCGTAGCATTTAAAACCGGCTGACAGCGACCGATTCCCCCAAGCCTGTTCTCAATTATCGGTCATGATTCCAGTCTCGTACTTCTGGAAAGTCTGTACAAACTCCTCCGAGGGTGGCGTTTTCATGAATGGGATCACACGTTGGATACGACCGTCAATTCTGTTGGGACGCTGTAGACCCAGAAGGCTGCAGACGAAGGGGTAGATGTCAATCTGCTGGAAATGTTGAATTTTCTGCAACACCTTGATGTCCGGACCCATCGCAACCATGAAGGGGTGCATCAGTGGATCCTCGTTGTCATAACCGTGATTGCCAAGCAAAGCTGATCAACATAAAACATCCTCCATAAATTTCAATATTTAAAAAAAATGTGCATGTGTACATAAGTTATCGAAGCATAGTCCGTTAGTTTACGGGAGTGGGCTGCTTAAAACCCCAGCCGAAACTGCCAACCTCCATATTTGTTGTTTTGGGAAATAGTTTTAAACATGTAAAAAAAAATTCCAAGAAGGTCAAATACCCGGATTGCCTCTGAACTAAAAATAACGATTGTCAGGGCATATAAGTGAAAACGGAATCGTGTAAGGACAGAAAATCAAGAAGATTGCAGATATTTAAGCATAAAACTCTAAATTCGAGTGCTGAAAAGTATTCTATGTTGTCGTTTTGTTTCTAACCACGTAGCTAATGCGCGCAGTTGAACCAGAAATGTTCGCACAATTTTATACGAAAGTGGCATCTGTGGACTGATGAGTTATCGCAAATGTGTTATATATTTACATAATCCATTTGAGCCTTTATGAGTGAATATTATGTCCAATAAATTTTTACGTTTTTAATTGTAGCATTTGCCAAATGCTGCGGCCTGCCAACCTAATTAGTTCCTTGTGGTATAAGCAAAATGTTGTGATTCAGGTAATTGTACAATCCAATAAACGATCAATGGTGTGCAATGAATTCTCTGTCTTAGGAAATACCCAATAAAACCCTAAAATGCCTTTTTTATTCGAACGGCTTATTAAAATGATGTTTTTATACGGATCTCCGGACAGCCTAATCTCAGGATAGGTCGACCAGGTCGGAATTTAGGCCGTTGAGTTAACATTTTCTCTCCGCCTGCCAAAAATAGGGGCGTGATTAGCGAATATGTTCTATAGTAGATTATCGATGCCTTTGTGACCGCAAAGATATTTTTAGAAAACATGCAGAAAATTTTATCTTTTTAGTCTTTTGATGGCGGATTACGTCTTCTGTACATTATATGCTTGAAGAAAGGGTGGCCTTCCGTTAAAAACACTTTTATAAATTGCTGAGTGATTTTTTATCTACTGGCCGTTCCGCTTGAATTCAAAGTTTCCAAACTTCATGCTATATTAATTACGTCCAAGTAAAAGTAAATATTTATTTGAAATATGAAGCAGAAACCACATGATTTTCATTAAATTTTGCTATTGATTTGGATCCTATGTTGTTCTCTTTCAGGGCCACATCAATAAGCTGACGCATACGATGTACTAAGAGTGAACACTTCACAGTCTTTAGATATATGATAATGGGCAATTTTTTCTGTTATCAAAGGTACGCTTTCCGCAAGTTTACGATTAGAATACAGTGTAAATTGCTATAAAATTGCACCAGAAAGAATATCTTACTGTATGAATTCTATAACAATAGATTTAAATTTTTAAGCGCATGGACAATCAATCCCAGAAATGCGTGGTGCAATCTCTTAGCAGTCTCCCTGCTGGCAGTCAGCCAAAAACCTTGTTAAGAAGCCGACATATTGACATGACTAAAATATCCGGAGACCAGGCTGCAGGGTAAGCGGTAGTATACCATAAGTGGAGTAAGTCTTTTGCAGTAAAACACATTTCAGCTGGTGCTCCCGTAGACACAACATGCTCTAAGGCACAAGCAAGTCGTTCATCTCAAAGTTTCTCAGTTATACAGTATGGCGAGTGCTCAATCGTCATGACGAAATTTAACTTGGTATTTGAGCATACATTTTTTCACGTTATTCTGATCCTCTGGGCAGATTTAATCCTTTTAAAGCCTTTTTGTTAGGAAAATCGTCCTTTAAGTTAAGTTTATTCGGGGTAAAGTGAATTAATTTAGTCGAAAAGGAGAGAAGTCTTATGTTGTAGAAATTTCCTATCGAATAAAAAAGATATAAAGTTTTTTTTATTTATCTTAGGAATACTGATATCAGTACGTACGTACGTTCTTTTTCTTGACATTGTTTTGAAGTATTTCTAAATATGGTCCATATGACCATCTTCAAAAGAAATAATATCCAATATAAATGTCGAAGGTAATCTCGATTAATGGATGAACACACGAAGAAACTTAGAACGCTCAAAAATATGCCGGAATTTAAAGGACAGCATTAAATATATACAGTGGTCGCCATAGACCATGTAATTTTCCTAAATTTGTATAAGTTTGATGATTACTCCAATACCAGTGTGAATGATTCAAGAAAACATATAAATAATCATAAACAGCACTAGGCATATTAAGTACTTAAAAGAACTAAGTGTTCGTAAAGGAAAGTAAAGGAAAGTATAATTTTTTTGATAATCCCGTGGTTCTAGAGGCGTAAAAAAGAGCTCTGAATTAAAACAATAAATTTTGATATTGTGTTACGTTGAAAACTTGAAGCAACCACCCTCTTTACAATGAAAGAATTTTTCGTTAGTCAAAATATTCTTTAAACTTTGTT